AATATGAATAATAACAATATAGGTTGATCTGTTTGCACAAACTATGCAAGGACTATAAAAGGTATATTTTTATATATATTTTTTATCCAACAAACAATCATCCAAATTATATTTTATGTAATCTCTGAGTCTGAAGAAAGGACTTGAACTAGTTTACCACAGACTGCTAACATGTATGATCTGTTTGCTAATCTCTTTTGGTTCAGGATCATTTATAGCTCAACATTGGTCTTGCCAGGCATTTCCTCTGAGTCTCACATGCGCAGTAGTGTGGATTCAAATTGTATGCACGATAGGAAAAACCTCTGACAAATGTCACAATAATCTCTGGGAATCGCCCTCCGCCCGCTACACCCACGAGCTAATTCATTTCAGACTTTGTTGATTGATTGACATCTTACACCGGATAGCCCCCTCTTGCTTTCTAAACAGCCATTGGGTAAAAAACATGTTTAAAAAAAGTTCAACTGTCAATCAAATGCAGGACATCATCTTCATTTGTGGGACGCAGGACAAATGCATTAACAAATGATGAAAATGTAGTGCAGTCCCACACAATGTAGGAGACCTGGTCAACTTCTCACATGTGATGAATAGGCATTGTACCAGTTCCCCTAACAATGCAGCTCATGGAGGAAACGTGTGCAGGGGGGATATATAAGGGAATATTCACTTCATCTTTAACTGAACTTTGAATGTATTTTAATGCAGAATAACTGCAGCCTTGAAATCGTGTGCATTTGGATTTCATTAGCTGCTTCTCATGTTTATAGACAGAAGAGCACCAGCAACCAACAATGGTATGAGGGTTAGGGTTTATGAGGGTGCTGATTTAAATAATAAGGTGTTCAAATGTGAGCCTATTGAATGTTTGACCACTAATGTTTTTTCATCCATTTCCCTCATGGTACTATATTTGATGTAGCATGAGGTGTGGAGGAAGTCAAAATGACTTCTAGTATGAAATGCCAAACCGCTCATGTGTCTCCAGTGTTGTGCTTGATCTAATGTTGTCATGGCAACCATGCCAGATAAAAAGAAAGTAATGGCGGGAACAGATGACAGATAAACACAGACACCTCGTCTTAAAAAGCATCATCTCCGAGAGCTGCTTCAGGAATGAGATCAGCATTATTCTTTATTTTACATTTACAAAACAACAATAGTACAAAAAGTTAGTCCACAGAAATGTTTATGTTTGTTTTCGACGGATTATATGCAAATGTTTTCTCACAACTGCAGCTAACAGTCCCTCAGACGCACAAGGTGAGGGGCGAGAGAGGAGCGGGGGGGTACAATCAAACTTTTATAAAGCTTGTGTCTGCCGGTCGCTCTGCAGCAGAAGAAACCAAAGGAAACATAGAAAAGTTTGACATTCTTAGCGGACACATGGGTGCGGGGGTCCCGGCCTCCGGAAGCTGGCCCCGCTCGTTTTGGTTTTTCCAATCGCCCTTCTCTACAGCAAACACTTTGTGCTTCATATGTTCTGTTGTTTTGCCATCACAACAAGAGAGTGCAACAGTAGTTTATGCTTTTCCCAAAGGTATACATTTTGACAAAAAGGTTGGCACATTCAAGAAGACATGAGCTTATTTATAACAACAGACTTTCTACATGTTTTTTCATCCTCATAAATACAATATACGTCTCTTTCCCTGTATCCAGAGCCCAAACAGTACAGACAGGTATTTACAAATGAAGGGAGAGGAAAGAACTCAATTGCTCATAAATATTCGATGTAATGCCAAAAATGGTAGCTTTCTTTCACACAGGGACTCAGAGTCTGGATCCTGAAACACTAAGCTGTCCTCGCTGTCTTCAGGCGGGAGGGGGGGGACACTACCTGGGTCCTTATCTCATCTCCTGGGGAGAAAAAAGGGATATATCAACATTATTTCACATATTTCAGTTTATGTAACCGTGTAATGGACTGAAAAAAAGGCCCTGTTCTGCTTTTTGTGGTTTTCCCTTCCCTGTAGTGTTCTATAGGTTTCAGTGCATTAAATGGTCTGCAAAGACGCCTCCATTGGACTCCTTGGTTTACTTCTGTAACATAATGACATCACTATGTAACACTTGCGCTTCTATTGGCTAGCAAACATTTTACGTGATAGGCTACAAGATACGTGATAGGGCGGGTCATCTCTAAGTGGTTGACCAATCACAACAGAGCCGGCCAGCTAACCAATCAGGGCAGACTGGGCTCTCGTTTCAGACAGAGGGTGAAAAGAGGTGCTTCTGCAATGAGGACAATAAAGAGCTTTTTGAAAGTTAAAGTCCCAGTAGAGACACTACATACTGATATACACCTAACAATTAGCACAATATGTCCTTTTTAAGAAAAAAAGTCTACAGATTGGAGCTATTGAATCATGTTAAAATTATAAATTTGGTTGGATACCGTGTACGGAATGTTTATTGCACTGCTGCTTTCTCTTTGTATGAATTCAGAAGAATCATCTTGACCTTGGTTTTATATCACAAGTCAGTTTTGTAAGAATGAGTCGGATGGCTGTGTAGTCAGGTAGGCATCAATCTATTCTCTGTCTGGGGCCTGTTCCTAATAATGATTTGTACATGTTTCTCAGAGCAGCACTTAAGAGCATGTCAATGCTGTTAAGCACTTTTTAACTTTGGCTTTCTTCCTGAGGATGCTGAACCATGTAATACAGTGCTGTATTAAATATACATGACTCAATAAATGTGAATACTGCAAACCAACCAATGAAATGTTTTATACTTTGAATCATTCGCTGTGAACACCCAGTTGTGCAGTTAACAGCCTGCAGCTCCTGCCTCATCATTAATGTAGCAGAGTCACTTTCAGGAGAGACACTTTGAGTGATCTAGCTGCTACACACAGAACTTACAAATCTAGCACAGACTGCACGTTTCATGCATATGCTTTCATCTTTGGTGACTGTCATCCTTTCCTTATGTAAGCACATGCCAAACAACATAAATAACAAGTCAAAAGAAGATTATGGAGACAGAAAACGGGAAAGTGTCATTTCAGCCAGAAGAGAGGAATATATCCTGTGAGAAGAGGGAGAGGAGGACAGAAACAGGAAGTGCTGTGTGTGCTAGTTTAGTTTGATTTAGTTGAGAGGTAATGTTCTCTTCTCTGGTTGTTTGTCTCCCAGAAAAAATAAGATGAACGACAGGGACACACCAAAGTTTCAAGAACAACTTCCCGTCGCGAGAATGGAACCTTCCGGGGAGTTTGTGAACGCACCATGTCCTGAGCTCTTTAAGTCCTATTCTAGTCTTCTCATTTAAACACTTGAATTATCAGAGGGGATCAGTGCTCATGATGAAGACTTCTGAACGACAGACTTTGGGGACATTGTCCTCTTGTGTTGCCCAGGATCCGTCTCATCTGAAGCCACAGAGTCCAGATGTGACACGCTCTTTGTTCACATGTCCTTGTGTGGAGCTGATGTAAAACACGAGAACAGCAACAACTGCCTGCCTATCCTCTTAGGGTCAAAGGTCAGAGATAGCAGTCAGCAGCCCCACAGGATGGGGGGGTAACCTGACACAGACTTCCTGTCGAAACACCCCAAACTTTATTGGAAAGCTTTCATGTCCCCGGCAAGGCGTGAAAAGCCCGGTGGGGGTCAGTGAGGGGCGTGAGGTGTTCCTTACCACCCCACAGGCGGGGGGGGACCTGAGAGGCACGAGATACAAGGGGGCTCAGTGTATGTGTTGAGAGAAAGTGAATGAGCACTCGTGTGTGTGTGTGTCACTTTTATGAGTTGCTTTGCTACATTCCTGTGTCAGATGTGTGTTGAGGTGAGGAGGGGGGCTGACCCCTGACCCCTCAGGCTACAGCCCTGACAGACAGCATCAAAGCTGCAAAGTCCGCTCCTCATGAACACTGAATGACATTATCTCTCAAATTAAATTATAATGGGTCACTTACTACTTACTAAAGCAGTTCAGTCGGACTGTGGCGGAGCTGGGGGGTGGCTGGGAGTGGCCACGGCCACCCCCAGCTGAATCCTGGCCCCTCTATTGGCCACCCCAAACACCCTCACCACGGGGGCCCAAACCATTTTAGAACATTAAGAAGAAAATGTTTAGTAACCTTTCATCATTCATCAAGAATTAACATTAATAGGACGTTATTGATAATGTAATCAATAAACTTACAATTCATTTAACTTATTTTCTTCCAAAAGTTAATTATAACCCCCTTCTATTTACATGTAATGGTTTGCTCCTGCCTCCAAACGTGGTGCAGCACCGGGAGTGAGAGCATATGAGGAGGGATGCTAGTACTTGTGTACCATGTCTCAACGACTCACAAAGTCAGGCTTTCAAAAGAAAAAAGAAAGGAGAGAAAGACAAGAGAGAGGCCCTTTAGTCCCTCTCTCTTGTCTTTCTCTCCTTTCTTTTTTCTTTTGAAAGCCTGACTTTGTGAGTCGTTGAGACATGGTACACAAGTACTAGCATCCCTCCTCATATGNAGACAGCAAGGAGAGCAGTTTCTGTTGAGTGACCTGCCTTGAAACCAGACTGGTGCGGATCCAGAAGGTTGTTCTGATGGAGATAACAGGAGAGTTGTTTAAAGACAGCGCGTTCAAGTGTTTTAGACAGGAACGGGAGGAGAGAGACAGGCCTGTAGTTTATAACATCAGATGGGTTGAGAGTGGGTTTCTTTAGGAGAGGGTTTACTCTTGCCTCCTTGAGACTGTTTGGAAAGTGACCAGAAGTTAGAGAAGTGTTGATGAGATGGGTGAGAAACGGTAGAATATCAGGAGCGATAGTCTGAGTTATTGAACAAACAGCGTTCAGGATAATACTGTCGTAACACATCAGAAGTCCTCACAATATGCAGATGTAAAGGAAAACCTGACTGCTACTCTCTGCTTTGTACTCAATTATACAGAGAAAAACAGAAATCAAAAACAAAGTGCTTTTATTTCTTATGAATACAAAGTAATTATGCCACAGGAAGCTGACTCTAAATTAAGCATGTTTTTCCTTTTGTTTAGACCTGCCCCCACCTCCAGAGCCTCCCCCAGGGGGGGAGAGGTTGCAGGGTCTGCAGGGGAGCATGGAGGCCAGCAACGCAGTGAACGTGGCCTTGTCCTCCCTGGAGAGGAGCGAGTACAGCAGCCAGAGGAAGGGCTCGGCTCACAGACACATCGAAAGTAAGACAAAGGGTTCCACTCAGTTCAGGCTGTCAGAGGCTAATCCAGCACACAGAGCTCATGATCCTCCTGGAATATTACACAAAAGATAACACTTGAAAATAAACTGTGTACACTACTTTGGCGCCGCCCTGAGTGGCTGCCTGTTTGCGCAGCTCTTCAATCTATGTGAATCTGTGCTGTCCTGTTTTTCAAGCTTACCCTGTTGTTGCTTGTACAACTGAATTTCCCCACGGGGATTAATAAAGGTCCATCTTATCTTACACGCTCTCATGCCCTACTGCTGAAGTACTCTTCAAGTGTCCAACAGTAATGAAAATGGGACACATGGACGTGTGTACATGACTTATTGTCAGATCATACATTTCAGGGTCCGAATCAGAGTCAGGTTTATTGACAATAGGTTTACACATGGAACTTACTTTGGTGTACAATAGTGGGTATACTTTATAAACACAGTAAACAAATTAGGTTTTCGGAAAGAGGCATATATAAGAGGATCTTATAAAAACTGACAGAAAGCAAAATAAATATTGCTTCTTTTTCCGTTGTTTGATTATGTGCATATTCCAAAAGGTCTGGACAGCTGATGCCAAAATATAAAATGCCCTTAAACGTTACTTGCCAGGGCTGCATTTACAAATGCATAAAATAAACAAGTTTAAACAAATGTTTACAAAAACATTATAAATATACAAAAAAATACCACAAAAGAAGTACAACAAAACATTTTCTTAAGGATTTGTCAAGTGTATAAAATGCAGCTATAAAATGACATGAAAACACAAGCCTTTCTAAAAAATCCTGCAACATGATGCTGCTGTACTGACTGTATTCAAATGATACAATACAAAGACCTAGACTCAAGACAAAAAACTCAAAACCACGGAACAAAAAAAGAAAGACAAATAAAGAATGCCCTCACAGTTAACTACATGTCCTCTCTGTCCTGCCCCCCCCTCCCCCAGATGAGGACCCACTGCCCTACAGCAGTAAGGTTCTCCACCTCTCCAGGAGCCAGATGTCCAGTAACTGCTCGACCACAGGAAGCTCCTCGTCCAGAGGCTCCACGGGCTCCAGAGGGCCCCCCTCAGCCAGGAAATACACCGAGGTAACATACAGCACTACTAAACATTCTATAATTCCACTGCGGACTCATGCGGGGGAAAATGTTCTCTTTTCATCTCCAGTTGTTTTAATAATTGATGCTTTAAGATATTCATGAGGACGGAACAAAGACTGTTCCTGCCATGGAGAGGTGCATGTGGTTTAGTTTTATCTACATACCATTACTTGTGCTCCATAAAACACACATAGATTGTGCAGGCGTATGAAAGAGCTTTTACATTCCCTTGTTGCCCACACACACTCACACGCTCACACACACTCACACACCAACATGCTCCCAGGCTCATAAGTCTACTCAGAGTATGCTTAACAGTCAGAAACAATGTTAAGTGTGCACGCCCACCTCCTCCCTCTGGAGTGCACTTCTGAGGCCGTGCTGCGCAGGGGGAGCGCTCCATAAATGCCCCCCCGCAGGCTCCCTGGCGACGCGCTGGTGTTTTCACCGCAGAACAAGCTGTGCCAGCCGAATGGAACGCTCCCCGGGGGTTTCATGCTGCTGAGGCAACGCTTACACATAGTGACTCTCAACATTACTGTGGGGAGACGCAGGTAGCTGAGAGAGAGTTAAAGATGTGTTATCACTTTAAACCAAATGTTATGGATTTATAACCATAGAGTTAGAAACTTGCCACAAATACAGCAAGGTCAGCAAGGTAGACCAGGAAGTCAACTGGAGCTACAATTGTGTTTACCACCAGCCAAACACACTCTCCTTTTTAAGCTGTAAAATGTGCCATTACTAGGCCGCCATACTGTACACTGGCAAGAACAAGTGAGTGAACCCTTTGGAACAACCTGCATTGATGTATACATGTGTTTACAATATGGTCTGATCTTAACCTAAGTTGCAATAATCTACAAACACAATCAGGTTTAATTTATAGCACACAAATGATTGTTTTGTTCTTGTCCATTTTGAAACATTGTTCAAACATTCACAGTGTAGCTTTGAAAAAGTATGTGAACCCCTAGACTTTCACAAAAACGTGTTGAGTTAGCAAGCATTGTTTTAATCAGTGAAACAAGATTAGAAGTGTTGTTCCAGCTTTTTACGTATAATAATCACTCAGATATTTTGAGTATGCTATACACAAGAAGCATCTGCTGATGTGAACCTTGCCAAGGGTTCACATACATTTCCTTGCCACTGATGTTGTTGGTAGAGCTGGCGGTCAGGTTAGAAACAAACCTGCGACCATTTGCCCAAGTTATCCCCTCTATGTCCCCCTTTCAACACTATTACTTTAATAAAGGATTCACCATCCATCCCTCTGCCTTACCTGCATCCACCTGTAGGATCCGGGAAACATTTATTTCATCATCTCTCCTGAATGTTCTATGCAAACATCTGATGAAGCCGGAGCCTAAGCACCAAACTCAAACTATCATATGATAGTTTGAGTTTGGACTGTATTAGTATATTGCTTTATCCAGTCTGTCCATGCCATGCAGAGCAACTCTGGAATAAATGTCTTGCCCCAGGATACATCGACTGCAGGGTCTGGGATCAAACCACAACCCTCCGAGGTAGTATACTATACTATATACTGTATATACTATATGGGGTGGCATTGAAATCACTATTATATGAACATAAAAATACATCTCACTATAAAATAAGGGGTTATTTAAGGCACCTACAACACACCTCTACATTATTTGGGATTAAGTGGTGGAATAGATCAAATAATATTAAGTATATCTAACTATTTTTTTCGTATTCCCACAGGCAAAGTATCAACGAAGCTTACATTAAACAAATGACTGTTTAGCTTATGGTGATCAGCAGCCCTATGAGCTCATTCTCTCAGTGTATCATCAGGAATACAGAGACACACACACATAATTTAAATAAGAGTTTTTAAATTAACCCTGTAAGGCCTCCGGTTTTAATTTTACAACATTACTTTAAGCTATCCTAAAAAAGTCAGTAAATGTTTTGTTTTTTTAAAAGACTACATTTACATAGTCAAAAGGTCCTTTTGTTCAGCCTCACAATGCTATTGGGTAGCAAATGTGTTTATAGGTCCTGCCCTCTGGCCATACACGCCAGGGATTTTGGGCCCCATGAAAATATATCACATTGGGCCCCACCCCCAGGCACAGGCCACGCAAACCAAGCACAATTGCTGTAACCACACCTCCAGAACCCAACCGACTCATTTATGCTTTAAATAACTCTACCTGTACAGGCTTGAATCTATCTTGTAGTCCAATACTAACCGCACAATATTTACTGACACTGAGCTGTGAACATTTCACTGTGCAGACTGCAAATTCTACTGCAACATTCTGCTGCAGTATAATTCACTATTTAATATAACACTAACATTCCTGACAATAGACCTCAATAGTCATCTTTTATGGTGTACATGCCTTTTTAATAACATTTTTTAATGGAACATTTATAAATCAAAAATAAATATAACTTAAATAGGCTATACATGACCAATTAAATTAAAATAAAGTTAACATTAACACCAATATTATAATTTATAAAAATGCTATCACAAAAAAAAACATAAGACAG